GCTGAGCCAAGAAGCGACTAGAAGGTGTATGCGGACATGAATCAGAATAAAGAGCCATTCCGAAAATACACGAAAAAAGTCCCTGCAGAGGAAAATCATACACTTCCAGCTCACACTCGGTTGGATCTATTGAGTGAAATCAGACAAAATACCCTCTGTTAAGATTAAGGACAAGAACATTTGCTGCCATTGAAATCTGTGACTCAACCACTAAAAGAGAAATCCACAGAAGGGATGTGAGTTTCTGCTGAGATACAGAGACCATCCTGATCTCCCATTTTCCACCCCAGCCTCCTGGACGGAGGCCTGAGGGGGGATTGCTTCTTTTAGACACGGCAAATCGAGTCTGCCTGGACTACCCAAGAGTCTCTCTTCTTTCACATTAAATGGTTCTTTCAAGAAGCTATGGCCTTAGCAGTCAGCATAGTGTAGGTGCTGGAAGGAGACGCCTGAGTTCTAGCCCTCGTTTTGCCGCTTATCTTTGGTAAGTCTCCAAACCTGCCTGGCTGTGATCTCCTGTGTGAAATGAGAAGACCTTTATGAAATTTATTAAAACAAATGCCAACAGGGGACCATGGATAACAGATTTCATGGTATTCATCTTTTTACCACACTGCATGCAAGAGAAATAGACACAAAAGATCAGGCTTCAGAGAAAGGTGGAGACGCCGTTTGAAACTGACAGAGAAGTGACATGGACGGAGCAGAGACCTGGAGGAGCAAGGCCTGAGTGTGAATGGGAGCTCTGCTGGCCTTTACTCTATGAGCTTGGCTTAGTTATCATGCCTTCCCAAGCCTCAGTGTCCTCATCTGCACAATGGGGACAATAAAAACTACTGGAAGAGATTTCAATGTGGGTTTGAATCAAATGAAATCATATCCAGAGCAGCTCTTGGCACCCAGACTACACTCAGAAAAATTCCTTCCTTCCTGACCTATTAAAACTCTCACTGACCTTGAGAGGCACCAGGAGGGAAATCCACTCCTTCCTGTTTTTATAACCATAATGAGAACAGCACCACTGAATTTCTAGATGCACCTGGCCCCTGCTGCCAGGTTATGTTTCCCACACTTCCTGCCTCTCCCCCTAATGAGAAGCTTACGCAGGTTGGGTCCCCTGGGAAGAGCGAATAGCAGTAGGATTCTCAAACAGCTGAGTGAGCACATCCGTAACAGGAAGAAGAAGTGTTTCCTAGATTAACTGAGAAGGGCTATGAAGGCCTCCCCTCCTGCACCAGATCCCCACGCGTCTGAGGTGGCAGCTGGCAAAGCAAAGGATGTCAGATGAGCTTACCCGGCGCCAATCAGAAACAGGGCTCTGGCCCCTTCCGTTTTGTGTGTCAGGCACTGCACATGATTTCATTTGGAAAATGTGTTCCAGGCCTGTCAAAGAAGCTCGCAAGAGCACTGGCCCAGGTCCTGGAGGGCGCTGTAGGAGTGCAGGAAGCGGGAGTGGCAGAGGGACTTTCCTGCAGAGATGCCGTATCGCCCCCAGACATCCTGGGTTCCCCCCCACCAGCTTCTGGGAGGCTGACACACCCTCCTGGCAGCCTGAGATGTTCCAAGGATAACACAGAGGCAGATGTTGCGTGGATCTGGCCCTGCCTCGAGGCCTGTGACTCACCGGGATGACTGAGCCTCCCTGGCAGATAATGTGGTTCTCGGAGGACTCCACGAAGCCAAGAAGAAAACCTCAAGGCCTGGATGCTTCCAGGACTTTCCCGGCTGCCTCGCTAGAAACATAAACCCCATTAGCCCACAATGGGCCGCAGAGATGGAGCAGCTGGTTTGGGCTAGTGTTGGGAGAGGAAGGACGTGGGGCTGAGGGTGGAGGAGAGATGTTCTGAAGCAGGTGGGTCAGAGCCTTGGCAATGCATTCGCCGAGGCGGCCATGGGAGGGCCTTGGACGGCCATCCACACAGGACGACAGCACTGTTTGTTTTCCGGCTGTGCTCAGGGCTCGTGCTCTTTCCTACTGTGACAATGAAATCAGCAGCAAAACAAACAAACAAAAAACCAAACAAACAAAAAATTCATAACCCGTAACTAGGCCACGAGAGGCTTAACCTTAGAAGGCGGAAGGCAGAGTGGGGAGTGTGGGGGGCGAGCGGTGGGGCGGGAGCTTGGTGTGGCGTGGTGTTGGGCGGACCTCGGTTCGAATACCCACTCTGCCAATGACCTTGAGCAGTTTCGCAGCCTCTTCAGGCTCAGTTGTTTCATTTATAAGAGGAAAATAATGTTGTCATGAGAATGAATTGCGACAGTCTGCATCGATACAGAAAAGGCTTAGGGTGGTGAGACTTTCCAGTACTTACCTTTTAATTTTGTTTTTATTTTTTAACTATGTAAATGCATTACTGTTAAAAGAAGTTAAAATAAAGTGGTGCAAAACACACACACACACACACACACACACACACACACAAAGGCTTAGCATAATATCTGGTATAATATATCTACCTAATAAATTATTATAAATTTTTTTTGTAATTCATCAAATTCTGACTTAGATATGGCACAGTGGGGCTCCCACTTTCTTTCTGAGTACAAGATTCTTCCTCTCTCTTCAAGATTTCACCACATTCCCATTTTGCCACCCTGCCTAGTCTTCTTAGGACCCGAGCCCTTTCCCTGAACCCCAGCCTAAGCCTCTGAGGACCACCCGCATACCTCTGCTCACAAGGACTTTCACATCTCAGCCACCTGATTCCCTGTGACGGTGCTTCATCCACATACGGCGACACTACCATACTCGGTCTTGGACGCCTCCATCATCACAGACTGATAGTCTCAACGGGGGCCAGGTATCACAGTATCCACCAGAGCTAAGCTTTTCCATCAGTCCTGGAAGCTCTTCACTTACCCACGAGCAGTGCCTCCCCATTAGGCAGATCTAGACACAGGTCTGGTTCCCCTTCCTACTAGCAGCCACACCCCAGAGACCGCAGATACATGACAAGGTGAACTCCAGGAGGTGTGTGGCAGTGCTTGGAGCTGGCCTCAATAAGCAGTTTCCAGCCACCCCTTTGTCACAGTGATCCCCAAGACTTCTTTCAGTTCTAAGATTCCAAGATGGAAGATTCTATCACCTCGGTTACAAAAGCCCCAGCAGACAAACCACACCTACTCAGCTCTCTCCTCTGCCATCTGGCTTTGGTGAACAAGCCTGGGGTCCTGAATGAAACACTATCTGTGCTGAAAGTAAGGCAAAGTGATCAGTGATGCCAGAAGCAGTTGTGCAAAGAGTTGGGTTGCCATAGTTAAAAAAATTCTTCATGAAAGCGGAAATCTGCAGGGGATGTGGTCCTAGCCATCACCTGCTCATGCATCCATCCATTCATCAAGCCACCCAGCCAGCCGGCCACCAAATACACATCAAGCATTTGCCAGGCTCCTAGGGAAAGGGACGCAAAGGTGAATGAAACAAGACAGCTGCCCCAAGAAGCTCACAAGCTGTCTAGGCTACATGCAGTTGCAATGCAGCATAACAAACCCTGTGACTCAGCAATCTGCAAATTCTCTGGCAGCCCTGAGGACGGACCTCTCTTTCATACCAGGATGGGGGTGGGTAGATGGCAGCCACAGGAAGAGCTCCCAGTGTAAATGACTTAAGCTGGAGCTTCAAAGATGCACAGGAGCTGGCCACGCAGAAGTCGTACAGTCATGACAGCCTTTGCAAAGGTTCCCAGGTGTGTGAGTGCATGATATATTCAAGGATCCAGAGGGAGACTGAGTCAGTGATGAGGAAGGGGTTTGTTTTAAGTGATGAGTGGCAGGAGATAAGTCTGGAGAGGCAGAGGTCAGGTCAGGGAAGGAAGGCTGTGTGTTGAGCTGAGGAAGTTCATCTTTAGTCCCTGAGCTACGAGGAGAGAGTAGCTTGAGAACCTCTAAAAAGTGGCCAGGGTGGCAGTGTGACAGGACACAGGAGTGAATGGCTGTTGGTTTTTAGTTGGACTGCATCCAAGTTTCCTTTCTCAGAGTCTCAAGTTTCCCTTTGGGAACCTCCCATTGCAGACAGCAGTGTTGGTTGGGAGATGTACCCTGGTGCAGGGCAGAAGCTCAGTAAATGCTTACTGCTGAATAAGTTGCCCGTTTTAGAGATGGAGCACAGTAGAGAGTGGCGTCTGGTCATCTCCAAGTCTATCTTGCTTTTTCTTGTATTCCCAGTACTGGGCACAGATGAGATGCTCAATATTTATTGGGTGAAGGAATAAACAACAACAAATGGGAGGCATATCTTTTCTAAAAACATGAGCTGAATGTGTTCAATTCAGTGGCCTTTGTTCTCCCCATCCATAGTGTGGCTCCTACCGCCAAAGTGGATCTCCATTGGATCTGGGGGGTGAGCGATGGGGTAGACTCTTAGACCTGATGGAGGACCACAGCTCTATGTCAGGGTTATGGTTCCTACACATGTGGGCTCCACTCTAGGGCAGTAACAACATCCCCATCAGTTAACGCTGAGTTGCATTAATCAGATGCTTGGACAAAGGAAAAGGAGGAAGGCAAACTGACCTAGTCTGTTTATACCAGTTGCATTATCCTCAACCTTAATCTCTGTAGGGCTGTGGGGAGGAGAGGAGAGGGGAGAGAGGAGGGGAGAGTAAGGGAGAGGAGGAGACAGGCAGGAACGCAGTGCCTGACACATGTTAGGTGCTCAGAGATACATGGCTAACTTCCCACTTGCCTAGGGTGAGGGCTCAGTCAATGACAGCTTACATCTCTCACGATGCTTATCACAGCCTTACAAGTAAGCATCTTACTCTCATGTTAGAGCTAAAGAAACAGGTTTTCTGAAGGCCATATAAGCTTATAAGAAGGAAATTCAGGATCTGAATCCAGATCCGTCTGACTCCCAAGTCCACGCCCTCTCCTCTCTACCTGGGTGCTTTCGAAAAGACAGATAGCACTGGCCACATACTGAGTCTAGCTGGGTTGACACAATGAGGGCAGGACTTGACGTGTACCACATGTATCAGGGACAGCAAAAGCCACCATACCCACTCTGGTGTTGGCAAAATGATGAATTCCAGCATGAGACAACCAGGCTCCTTCCTCCAGAGGCCACTGTTCACCGAGGTCCATGCTCCCAGCAAGTCTTGTGTCTGTGCAGCTCTCAGATCAAATGGAATCTCCTGAAATAAATCATGAGCACACACAAAAAAAATGGAGATAAATGACTACTAATGCTCTCCTGGGAGGGGGACACTTTCTTGGAGAAAAGGAGTCAGTTTCTAGTTCATTCTGTTTCTTTAGCATGCAAAGATTGCTGTTAAGATTTGGGCATGCCCTGAGTGGGAGCGCTTACAATGAGACTTCAAGTCTACCATCCACACTTCCCTCTCCATTCAGTTAACAAATGTTTATGAAGCAACTATCACGTGCCAGGCTTTGGGCAAGCACGTTCCCGTGTTTAGTTCTGCATGCTTTGTAGAATCCTAGAATTTCAGGGTAGGATATCAATTTCATAAAAATAAATAGGTATATGAGGTATATACATGCCTTTAAAAATGACTGGAAAATAGAATAAAAAGGTTGAAAGTAACTCCACCGTATTGGCCAAAACGAGTGCTTTTTATTTTCTTTGTAATTGCCTGCATTTTCCATAATAAACATGCATTATTTTTATAGCCTGAAAAAAAGTACACCATAAACATCCTTTCAAAGGAAAATCCCAGGGCCTAGAAGAGCTGTGGAGACCAATTTTCCATTTCCTCTTGAAAACCCTGATACGCCCATGTCATGAGAGCTCTTGCTTTCACGCAAAGGACGCCCTACTGGCTGCCTCCGAGAAGTCCAGCCTGGAGAATCTCTCCCTATAAACTGTATCTGAGAAGATTACAACTCATGGCCAAACTTCTGCCTACATCACAAAGAGAATGAAGAGAACACTCTGTGTGTGGCAGGTCCTCCTGTGGACAAGGCTGAGTAATTGAACATGACTGATTGACCTAATTTGTG